TCAATCAATCAATCAATCAATCAATCAATCAATCAATCAATCAATCAATCAATCAATCAACCAGTCAGTCAGCCAGTCAGTCAAATGAATTCGACACAACTGATGATAACCTAGCGCCCTCAGCCAGCTACAATTTCTGTGCGCAATCCAGTATTGGGTCAGAAGATATTCATTTCTAATTTATCACTTTACCTCGCTGTATAGCCTGTTATTCATATCGAAGCAGTTATTGAGCCGTCAATGCGGCCTCACATTGTCACGTGATAATAATTTAAGTTGATATCAGTTCACAATTGGAAAAGGGGATTTCTGAGGATTACGGCTCCGTCCCATGTAATCGACCAAGGTGTAATTTTCGTCCTTTTATAACAGATTCTTGTCGTTTTTTGGCACAGAGAAAGCTATTCTTGTCAATAATGAATTCATTTGCATTACCAGGAATGTTGTTTATTGCATTTAGTGCAAGAAATCTGGAAAACTACATTAGCTCCACAGTGCTTCGACACTAGATAAGAAAATCGTTTTTGCCCGGTTTCCCTTCATCGCCCGGGCATAAAATTACGGATATGTCAATTTAGAGTTTATGTGTTATCAATGGAACAAAGATCAACTCAAGCGAATCAAGAAAGAAACTATATTCCGCCTTGAGACTATAAAACCACGGAAATAAAACTGTTCAACTTTACTTTGCATGAGTAGTTCAATAGTTGCAGTTTGAAGTCATGCGTTTCTTATGCCCCACTTATTTAAATCTGTTCTCATACTCCTGGAGAACGATTATTGACAAAAAGGTTTAATTATTTTGAATAGTTACTTAGGACAACATTTACTAAATATTGCCTGTATATGACATTCTGCAGGGTTGCACGTACATGTATATACGTGTATTCATCATGCACGTAGGCTATATACTAGTTATTTCAACAAACGAACACACTCAATATTACCATAGCAACGCATAATCGTTACATTAGCACTTGAATTGTTTGCATACCAATTAACTGTTATATGGAAACATGATATACCCTGGGGTGGTAGAGTATGAACACAGTTTACACCACTATTCATTTACTCTTCATACTCCAATAATCCACACGTCTGCATGACATACGTATCGTTGAAATTGACCACCAAGTAACTGGGCTTGTTTTCGACTTCAAACCTCATTGAATGAAGAAACTATTTTATGGACTACATAAAGAACACATGGACTGAATAATAGCAACATGGAGCCGGTTATTGGGGGTCTGAGTGCAAATTATGTCTGTCATGTCACGTGGTCACTCGGATAGTATGGCCAATTGATGCATGTTGAACGACCAACTGTGTAAGTGTGATGTTCAACTGCAATTGATGCGAATTCAAACATTACTTCCAATCACAATTTAGAATCTAAAATGTGAGCTCGGTCATTGGCTTTTCACTTATATTATTTTCAGCGTAAGATTTTTATAAGTTGATCATTATGCACATGTTTAATGAGCGCAGAATACTGTTAACAAATTCCAAAAATGTACATGATTCGTGTGCATCGTACTGTATTAATATATACTCTCTTCTCAATTACGAAATGTATGCATGGCTGTGGTTAGGACTCGTAGAATGTGCTTTTAATTTGAGCTATTCTCTCCAACTGTTGTATATTTATCAAGAGTAGTCAATTTTAAGTCAGAAAAAGGCCCATTACGCAGGATCACAACCTTCCCGTCTACAGCCTCGACTCAGCCTCGGATTTTTTTTATCTCGGAAGAGCCCACATAATATGACTTTATCTTCTGCAAGTTACAAGAGGAGCATTACACCATTGTCACGTGACTTATACACACGTTTACTGCATTGTCTGGAATAATTGCAACAGTTATGGTTATTACAAAAAATACGCAAGCGGAAATTGATCACATTTACATTTCTATAATTGACAGTAAATGATTAATTGCTCATTAATATCAATTGCGGTTTTAATATAGATTTCTGAGTATGTTAATTGTTTTATTTTAGACGTTGTACGATTATAGTGTTATTTTACTGACAAGGTCTTGACAAAGAACAGATACATACATACGAATGCAGTTGATACTGAGCAGAGTGTCAATCTATCCATTCGACGTCATGACATATTTGTTTCCAGAAATGCATCTATGAATACATGACTGTTACTAAGAATGCCGATGGGATGCTTAAAAAAAAAGAAAATATGGCAACAATTTTGTGTCAAAGTAAACTTGGAGCGTACTTTTTTTAGGATTAAAAAATATATCTAGTCTTCGATTTGACTTCAATTCATTCAATTTTAGAAACACAGTGAACATAGAAATACAAGCACAAATCAAAAAGACACAAAATTGCACCCATAGTTTAGTTTATTATTCGGTTTACATGGCAAAAGTAACAGTATATCGGCCATGCACTCTTCGCCACGTACCGTGTTTGATTCTCGTCTCATACGGCGTTTACTACGCAGCGTATTGCGCACATATGTACTAACAATGCAGGCACTATCTGGTGTCTAATTCATCGAGAGATTTTGAGTCTATTTATAACGCACTGTATTCCTATTTCAGTAATCTCTAAACACAACAATTATTTTTAAAGTGTGTTCAATATTTTGTTTATTTAATACAGTGGACAATATGGTTGAATTCAATATAATAATAATATTTGTTGCCCGTTGTTTTTCCAGACACCAAAAGTTTGCGTAGGAACCTGCACATTATGTTCTGTCAACATGCTCTATGGAAGTGCCAATGCGATGCACTAACTCGGCAATATAAAGTCTATTCACTGTCCATCATAAGAGCAATACGTCGGCTTTAAATACAAGTATGTCATTTGTGAAAAAAAAGAAATTAGCATGTACGTATGCGTGGTGACATATAGACTGTTAATGGTATTCTATAGAACCCACGTGACCACGTGATGACCAAACATGATACAGAATTATGATACTGTTTTAAATGTTTAAATAGTTGTTTCAAGTTTCAATAGTTGTACATGCAAACGCACTATGTGACGTAGCAACGAGATATTAATATTTTAAAATCAGGTCAAGACGTGAAGGTTATTGTAACATATATGTATTAAACCATATTTATAATGTATAAAATAGGTTGAAACCTAATCAAGACATTTTATAATATATATGGTAATACCCAGTAATGTCACTGTGAATTTATTTATTCATTTATTTATTTATTTGTTTGTTTGTTTGTTTGTTTGTTTGTTTGTTTGTTTGTTTGTTTGTTTGTTTGTTTGTTTGCTTATTTATTTATTTATTTGTTTATTTGTTTGTTTGTTTGTTTGTTTATTTATTTATTTATTTATTTATTTATTTATTTATTTATTTATTTATTTATTTATTTATTTATTTATATGTCTGTCTATATTTATATATTTTAAATATTATATGGTATCAGTAGATGTTAAATATCCTTGGGTAGTCGTGTAAAAATAACATGACACACAATCACCGTATTGTGAGAAACAATGTAAACATGAGTTTAGATCTGTATTGATATCCTGTGTTAAATTGAAGAATGAAACATCGTTAGAAGCAATTTTACATTAGTGATTTAGAAAGAGATAATAATGTCAATACGTTACTATATTGACTTCGTCAAGAAAATTGATTTCAACAACAATGTTTTTATTATCAAAATTAAAACTATATTCCATTTACGTAGAGATGCAGTTTACGTGACAGGTATATTAATTAGTTAATTAGGAAACCAAGATGACCTCCCTTGTCCACAAAACTATATATTTTCGGAAAGCTTATTGTATGAATTTAAAAATTTTGTTAGTATTTTTTTTCATGGACACTGTAGTTTGAAATGTGCACAAAAATATGCTTTTTTGGTCAAAAGTGATTTTAAAAAAAATTAGCTTCTAAACCATGCTTCTGTTTCCTATCAAAATTGGTTTATGGGTACATCTGTTTACTATGAAGAAAGTGCCGTCTTGAAAACTGTCTACCAGTTGTCAATTGTGCAGGGCAGCAGCTCAAATTTCACTACTTCAAGTTTATGCATGAATTAACACCCAGGCTAGTTGTCTGTACGATTGTTGTAACACTGTTCAACCAAAAACAATGCCTCGACGGCGTTTTGATGATAAATACATTGTCAATCATTTGTGGAAATTTCAAAACAAAATGTCAAAGCGTCTAGAAGCTATTTTTTTTAAGTTCTGGGATGTGCACAAAAAAGAAGCTGAGATAATGGCTAATTTGCATAACAATTCACTCAGTAAGAAGTTTGCTAATGCTCATAATTAAAATGGCTGTAACAGTTCCAAATTTAAATGTATTATCGTTTTGTTAAAAGTTAAATATAGTGCACAATATGGAGATCCGTCATTTCTTTTTTTTCACCATGTTTCGTTTTTATTATTTATGTACAGCCTTGCTAAATCTTGCTAAGCATTCAAAAGAGAGAATGTTTGCACCTGTTATCTATATATTTTAAAATCGTTTTTTTTTTTAGTAGTTTCCAC